TACTTTCTTTTCCTGTGGACTTTTGCTGGACCAGTCCTGTGTTCAATTAATAACAATCTAAACATGAAAACATATTAAAATCACTTTTTCAATGTCCTGTGGGACTTTTTACTATCAAACTAAATAAGTGTCACCATCTTAAGGTGAATGCACATAAAGTGAGGTTTTAATGTTGTCCTCTGTATAAATTAAACTTACTGTAATGTAAAATGTTTTTGAAAATCTAACACAGCCAGCACACAGCTTGGTGTTAAGTTTGGAATAATGAAACCGTAAAAGTTGGGTAAACACACCACTCCCATCCAGTTACACCCACATGACAACATAAATACATGAATAACTCAGCTTTGACTTCATACACCCTCCTCTTCTCTTTATCTCAGCAAAAAGGAGATTAAGATTATGCCAGATTAAGCTAGTTTCAACTCTAGATCTACTCTGGATGAACAAATTGCCTTTATTTTTACTTTATTGTAAATGACCTTAAACCTGCTGAATTTGATACGTTAACTTTTGTGAATAGATAGCAGCTGACCAAATGCTGCTTACAGTTTTTATTATTACTTTTAGTTTCAATAATTACATTTATTTTAAATATATCATTCAATTTATTTGAGAAAGTAAATAAAAATATAATTAACCTTTTTATAAATTCATTTCAATTAACCTGTTTTGTTATTAGTTTGTGAATGTTGAGCGTTTTTAAGGAAATAAATACAGAAGTATTACAAAAAATGTACACAATTCATACTTATTACTGCAAATATTTTCTGCTCATAAGAAATTTACACACACACACACCCTCTCCAAGCCAAGCTAGAACCTGCAGGCTGAGGGAGCACCAAGCTGTCAGAATGCTAAACTCCTCCCGGCTCTCCATCTTCCTTCTCTGACCTTTGACCCATGAACCCTGGATACCAACTAGAAATTTGAAATGAAAGATAATGCGACTTTTACGGTTCATTCTGTTTACATTCATTTAATAAAATAACAGGAAGAGCCTCAACAAGCTAGCTTGGTTCTGGGCTGCCCACTGGATTTAGATGTGAAAAGGAGGATGCTGGTGAAGCTGACCTCCATTTTGGAAAACTCTTCCCACCCACTGTGGAGGCCATGGACAGCTCCTTTAGACACCAAGATGTAAAACAAAATGCTTCCCTAGGTCATTTATTCCCTGTGCAGGAAGAGTGTATAACTCCACAGTTTAACTGGTACTGGCATTATCCTGGTACACAATAACATTAATTAAAAATTGAGTATGTGTTCAACACTTGGCCAATACAGATATTCATTATTATGTTCGTGTTCCTCATGCTGCATAGTGCTGGAAACCCAATTTTTAACTTGTTTTTAGTGGTTGAAGGTTACAATATTAGATAATTGTGTGTTTACCTGTAATCTTATTTTTCTTTTTGTCTAAGTGTATGTGCTGCTGTAACGAGTGACTTTCACCACTGTGAGACTAATGAAGTAAATTTTAATCCAACTTGACACTATATAACTCCTGTTTTTCTTTGGTATTTTATCTTATTTTGAATTTTATTTTATGCATATTGCTGCTTATAATAGGGACATGAAAAAACCACCTCTCAGACTCAATGGGCATGTTTCCTTTCCCAGAACTCCCGGGTAGTTCCTGGGATGGGGAACTTGACCAGGAGATAGGATGTCCCAGTTTTCTCAGCTGTTGTGTCTCCATTCAAATTCAGCCCTTTCCAAACATGCAGACGTCAGCATATCACGATTGCTTTGACAGTGAGTGATGTCACTGATCAGCCCCAAAAAGCACCTAAAGTAACATTAATATTAAAGGCATTTATTTTATAGAAGTGTATCATGATTTAATCCATTCAGAAACAAAAGCAGCTCTGAGTTTTGTGAGACAAGCTCCATTAATTAAATATGTGGGTGAATTTCCCACTTTGTTTCCCCAACAGCTGTGGGGGAATTCCACCGGGAGTTAGATTTTAAATAGCAAGTCACCTCTAATCAACGTTTTTTTGCTGATAAACTAAATGAGTGCCTAATCGTGCCTATACGTAGACACATGTAGACAATAATTTGGCACTTTAGTTAAAATGTAAATATTCTGCCTAAAACTTTCAACTGTTGTGCCCTCTTCAGGTAAAAAGTCAGCACTGCAATTGAATTTAAATCTGCCAACGCTATTGGCTAAGAGGTACACTATGACCTTAGCTGGTATATTATGATGCCTCAATGTGGTTGACAGCCTGTGTGTGTGTGTGTGTGTTTGTTGGCAGCTCCGTCCTCTCGGTCTGCCAGGCAACAGCATTTGTTGCTTTTTCCAAACAGGAAGTGGGAGTGGAATAAGAATTTTGAAGGGGTGACTTGCTCTTCATATGCGATTGGTGCTATTTTTTTTGCTTCCATTCTGCTTCACCTTCTAATTTTACTGCTGCCGGTTATTTTGGACGTCTGCTGATGCCATTTCCTACTGGGTTACAACCAATCAGTGTGAGTTAACCGGAGGTTCCGCTCAGCTACTCCACTGGGCCGTTCGGAGTATCTACTGAGCAGGTACTCAGAAGGTTCCTGAAAACGGCCTGGTCAGGTGGAGACCATCGACATTAATATATGGACAATGGGTTTCCATAGGCTCCAATAACAAGTTTCTGTGCTAAAATGGGAGTTGGCCACCACCGCCATTTTGACCGTGTCACAGGTTCCGTCCAGCCCAGACAATTCCATAAAAGGGAAGAGAGGAGGAGCTGAGGGTGGGGCTGTAAGGCTGGGATCAACTGACGACACCCGGTCGAACTAGCTACAAGCTAACCTGAAGTTAACCCAAAGCTAACGCGGAGGTGGGAGCCAAGCTAACGGATGTAGCCACCTAGCTACAACTGGAGCTAACTCTGTGGAACACCCATCGACCGCATGGAGTTCAGGTGGAGGTTTGCTGCGCTTTTTCATGAGAAGTACCTTTCTGTGAATAAAAAATATTAAATCGGTAAGTTTATAAGTTATTTCCGTAGTGAAAATATATTTTGCTTTGAGCAAGTTTTCACTATTTTTCACGTACCGTATTTTCAGGACTATTAAGTCGCACCAGCCATTAAATGTATAATGAAGAAGAAAAAAACACATAAGTCGTATTTTGGGGGGAAATTGTATTTTCTTAAAAAATCTGAGACAAAGCGTTTCACATTGCAAGACAAGTACCGATAACGATAACCGAATAATGCACCGCAGCAGCGCGCCACGGTCTCCAGCAGAGGAAGGCGGTGTTTGAAACCCTCCCAGCGGGACAGGGGAACTCATTCTTGGGTCAGAGTCGGCCCGCAGCAGCGCGGTGTAGCCTACATGTTTTGTTATATAAGTCGCTCCGTAGTAGCAGGACCGGCCAGACTATGAAAAAAGTGCGATTTATAGTCCGGAAAATGCGGTAGTTATTAGTATTTGAGATAAATTAGCAGGCTAAATACATTTCACATATTTCCAAAACGTAATACTTGTTTGTATCTTGTACAGCCAACTAGCCTTTATTCTGGACTCAGTACAATTCACCAAAAGTAAAGAGACATTATACAGATGAAGTAAGCACAAGATAACTTACTGGAAGAAACAGAATTATTATCATGAGAACCAGAACAAGACAGCCTGATAACAGTCATGTGAAAATAACAGTTAAAAAGTATGTATGTATAATAGAAATAAAAATATATTAGAATTAGTGTAACTCACTGTGATCCAAACAATAAATCAGCCATAGCTGATTAGTAAATATGACATGAGATCTGGGAGTTTTTAAGTTTCATTCTTTTATTACATTTTTTTCTTAGATCTGTTAAAAGGTCACCATGGCAGCCTGTGTGTCTCCAACATCAGCTACACAACGCAGCAAGTGTAAGTTCCAAATACCTGTCTTGACCACTTCATGTATGGTTTTGTACTTTAAACAGCTAGGCCAAACCTGTTATTTTTTTCTCCATAGCCATTTGGATCATCGGTGACAGCTGCGTGAGGCGTGGTGCCCAGAGCGCTGCAGAGACCCTCTGAGACAACCTTGGCCTCCCTGACGTCTCTGTCTCCTGGTTCGGTTGGGGCGGACTGAGGTGGACAGACCTTCTCCCCTTCTTTTTCAACTCCATGCATGGAAGAGCAGCTCCTGATGTCCTTCTCATCCACTGTGGCGGCAATGACATGGGGGTGGTCAGCAGTGTGTAGCTGCTGAACATGGAGGACCTGCACCGGCTTCACCTTCTACACCCTCATCACTGTTGAGAACTGTTCTTCCTTCACAACCCAATGTTCCACTCACTCTGCAGCTCTCTGGGCCCCTTTTATTATTTTTAGTATTTTTTTAAATGTCCCGACACTTTGTGTCCTGTTATTTTGTAAAATGTGAGGTAAAAAAAAATAAATGTTTTTGCTCAATTACTGGAATTTCTTTGGTTAAGACAAAAAAGGAAGGAAGAATCATTTATGCCGAGTTGTTTCTACAACAGGCCCGTTTTAAGTCCAACAGTTTCTTAGCAGCCAATAGAAATGTGTTCTTTACTAACTTTACTTGGTTTGAAAACTTACCAAAATAAACAGTGCTGTATTTCAAAACCCAACCATACTTATGTAAATATTAGCTTTGTAGATATTTTTTTACAGATAGATATTTGTGTGCTAAAAACAAACTTAAATTTGTCATTCTTTATTGAAAAACAACAAAATACAGGCACAAAGAAAGTGTGGGAAATGATAATGTGAAAGTATTGCTCTTTAAATGTAATACTATTCATCTTTAAAAAGAAAAACTCTAAAAATGTCCTGTACAGCAACATGACAGAAGAAAGGTGGTCTGTCTGTCAGAATGTGCTGAACAGATTTGCTCTATCAAGCAGAGTGTTTTGTGTAAGAGTTTATGTTATTGTAATATTGGTTTGGGTTATGTATCTGTGACATGATCCAGGTGGAATGGAAGGAGCCACCAATATTAAAATGATTAAAATAGGTTCTAAAAAAACAAGGCAAGCAGTGCGACAGCCAAAGCAAATTAAAAAGGGACATTTATTACAAAACCCTGATGATAACGCCAAGGGAAAAAAAGTGTTCAATCGAGTGTGCGCAGGGCCCCAAGGGACAAGGCGGTCCAGTCCGGCCCTGCTGAGCTCTCGACCAAGGAACCTCCAAGGCCGGCGTCGTCGTCTGGGAACCACAGGATCGCCGCACGGTGGATCCAATCTGCCTCCTCCTCGGCCCGGCCCCTGTGGCACACAACAACTCTGGCAGTAAATAGGTCCCCGGCACCAGACCACTCACAGAGAGAGAGCAACTGTAACACTGCCAGGCACTGATAAATTACTTACGCGCGGGGGCAGAGTAACTCTGCCCGCCTGCCGTGTTGCGCTCTGTGCGCTGGTGTCTCCGGCCGCGGATCTCTCTCTCCGCTGTTGCTGCTGCTTCTCCGGCCGCTGTTGCTGCTGTCCGTGCCGCCGGTGGATCTCCTTCCAGTCCTTGCGGAGCTCGCGGTGTCCGTCTGGCTCCAGCCGAGTATTTTCCTTTCCCCTCACGTTTCCACGTCCGCTCCCTTAAATAAACAAAACCCTCTGCCCGTTCACCTCCCGTCCTGCCTCTGTTCATTGTTTGCCAGGCAAGTCCACACCCCGCTCCCAGGTGTGGGTAATTGGGGAGGATTAACACAGATGGGATGCAATGTTGCAGCAATCACTAAAAACACCCAAACAGTTACAAATCAACCTAAAAGCACCTAATCAATTAGAAAACATGCAATATAAAACATAACATAAGAACATTAAACATAAGAACAACATTACCATTCTGTGACATATCGCCACATTAGCATGTAAATGCTGAACCAATCTGGAATAAAGAGGGATGCTGACCAGTAGAGGTGGTTCACCACACTCTGCTTCCACAGTCTCACATCCTGGGTCGTCTTTCTCTTCCCCAGCTCTTCAATTTTCTTACCAATTCATGGAGAGCCAAATAAACCCACATTTAAAATAGAAAAAAAAAGAATCCTGTAATATTCTCTATATACATCCCCAAAGATTACCTTTTCCCATGTGCCAGGGGTCAAAGTAGTGACTGATTTCCTTTTTTTCCTCCCGCAAATACTTCTGCACCCATGTGTGGCGGTCAGTCACGACTTGCTGCACATCGACCCCCCTCTCCAAAAGTGTACTCAGACTTCGCTCAAATCCCTCCTTCTCCATTCGCACACTATTTCCAACTTCATTGCTCTGAAAATAAACATAATTCTCCATTGATCTGTGAATAATTAACCATGAAATGTATTGGAATCATCAGGTAATGTACCTGTACGAGCTGGATATCAATAACTTTGTTTCTTTTGAGATGCATCATGGTGTAGCTGCCATATTTGGCTGAGTGTCCTTCAGAAATGCAAGTTATTCCTTAATTTACATTTGATAGCAAAGGAATAAAATAAATAAATTTAAACGTATTCACCAGGTGAATCAGCTCGCATGTCACCACCAAGAGTCACAGGTCCAGATTCAGTAGCCTCCTGGATGAAATCAGCTTGCTGTAGCTGCCACTGCCAGCTCACTGTTGGAATTAAGAGCTTTGCCTGATGTCAATAGAATGTCTGCTTGGACAGTCCCTGCACATTGAAGGCACCCAGGAACTAAAATATGAAAAGTTACGTCATGAAATGAGAGACGCACAGACCTTATCAAAACTAACCTAAACATTTTTGGCCTACACCTTAGAAATCTGGCTAAATGATGAGCCAGACTTTCTGGAAAATGAATTTCTGTCATGGTCCCTGTGTCACAAGACACACAGCAGCTGGGAGCTCTAAACTGGGTGGCTATATAAAAAACAAAGAAACAGCACATTTATAAATGTTTAAAAGAGCATAAAATCACATGTAACAATAATATGTAAAACAAATTAAAACTAGAAGGTAATAATAAAATGTTTACATAGAAGATTATTAAAAATAATTCACCTTTGCTATGGGTAAGGCTTCATGTCAGCCTGGACAAGTGCATTCTTGCAGACTACTGAATCAGTCTGACAGCCAACGTCTTGGGTAGATTTAGCCTGAAAAAAAAAAATAGAAGCACATTGTTGTTGGAGTTTATAAAGTCAGATAATATACAAAAGAAACTGTCAGATATAGGCACTTTATAACATTCCTAGTGTGCGATCGTTATTATAACGTAAAAGTCAGTCACATATGATGTGGAGAGCCTGAAATGCGACCTCCTGAACAGAATTCCTTACAGAACCGGGTCACACTGTGCTGGATTTCACGCTGTAATGATGTCTGTCAACTAGTGCTGCGTTAGTTAGAGCCACTGTTGCAGAATCGACTGACACAAAAACAACCCGAATTTTCTCCGAGCCTGACAGTAATAGTCATGTGGACCGTTTCGTCGGCCAGGGCTTCGAGATATGTTCCGATTCGCCGCTGATTCTAACCTTACATCCCGTTCCGCATTTTGTGAACTTGACAAATTAGCCCAAAGGCAGTGCAGACCTAAGTGACTCTACGAGTCCGAGAGCTTTACAAGCGGTCAGCCCCGTCCGAGAGCTCCACGAGCGGTCAGCCTGCGCAGCAGCTAGTAGGCGCCGCATTGGTCAGACATGCACCGGGTTGACCGCCGGGGAGAACCGGGTGGAAGGATGGAGCACAGAAGTGTCCCTCCAAGAGCTCCGTCATATTTCAACCCATTTTTATGTTAAATGCACTGGGTTTTACCCTTTTACCCATCGACATATGCCCTATTAATTATTTTACCGTATTTTACATCTAAATTTCATGGTTAAACAGTAAATGCTACATGTTAAAATGATAGTTAGCTAGTTACTTCGATAAACTCAGCTAGTTTAAAGGCGGCAGTGACCTAAAATACATACATATAATTTAACTAACCAAAAAATGAAGTGGAGACTCCTTGGACGCGCTATTAATACAATTTATGCCACAGCAAGTCATTTTGTCCAACAATTGCACAAATAATATCCAAAACAGAATACACAAACAGAGAGACTCAAAATCCCGAAACAGTTTCCAGGCCAGACCGAGGCTCTACTGAGGCCTTTTCACGGAGCTAGCTCTGTGGTCACGTGGGTCTGAGGCGGCGGTCACGTGGGTCTGATGCTCATTAATTATACAGAATTTTAGGCTTTTAATACACTTAAACAGAAGAGTGAGAAAAAATTCACCCCCCTCAGAGATGTAATGAGTATAAACTAGATAATTTTGACAAAAAACATGTTCTGGTACCAGGCTGTAAACATGTTTATTTCTGCTGTGAAATTGGTATTTTTAACATGGGAGTCAATGAGGATTTGCTCGCTTCTGACACCAGCCCCCAGCGGACGAGGGTGGAACTGCAATTTTTGGTACTTCCGGGTTGAGACCATTTTCTGAGCCGCATTGTGGGGGCTTGCTGGAGACACGCATGTCGGGAGGTTCCTGTAAATCTACCCTGAAGTTCTTGTAGTGGAAACACGCCTTATGTCTTGAACTTACTCTAATTTTAAAAAGCAGAATTAATTAAAATAAATGCAACACATAATTGTTAAAGTGCTTTCATTAAACTCAAAATGGGAAAAAAAGAAAAACTGGACAAGTCAAGTGTCAGGTGGTAATTAGTATTTATAGTTTTTGTATTCTGCTTCAAAGCCTTATTGAGTACCTGAAGAAAAGACTACTCAGGCAAATCACATCAGAATAAGAACCATCTGGAGCCCAAAAGGGACCTGTTTACATAGATCACACACACACATGATCATGAAAGTATATCAAACCATGTAATACAATCATGTAGGGTTTTAACAGAAAGATTTATGCATTTTTATGTTGAAGCACCAAATAATCCATTTTATAATGAAGTTTGAAAGAAGCTGTAAAGCTAAAATTAGATGTTAATACTGTAGAAGTGCATCCGAAAAGTGATCAAACTCGGAGTGAAGTTTATTGTGCAAACTCCACCAATCCCACGAAGCTCACTGACATTTCGTCTCCACAAGCTGGATATCATTTAGCCACGCGCGGCTCCACACAACAAACGTGCAGGTATAATGCTGGAAAAGAAAGCTCAGAATGCATTTAATATGACAACATGAAATTTAAAAATAGATTATGCTTAACTTAAATAAACAATGAAAATTGGACTATGAGGTTGCTGGTCCACTATCTCGCAGTGGAGACGGACTGAAAGAGGACTAAAGGTTTTCAGTTCATTACCTTAGCATGGTGTGGGTGAATGTGGATGGGACAGTGTTTACTAGATGGATCGGTCTTCCTGCATGGAGTTCTGGCTAGAATCAAAGTCATGTATATATTTTCACCTGCAACCACCTTTAAAGAGAAAAAAGTGAGGGTTTATTATCATAAACACAATAATAACCAGCAGAAGGCTGTGAATACTCTAAATGATTAAATCTGCAGAACATCAGTTATGTGATGCAGCTGGAAGACAGAAAGCTTTAAATCACCTTAAAAGATAAAAGAAACAAACAAGCAGGTAATTTTCTAGTTTTATTTGATGCTACTGGAACGCATTACTTTAATTCAAAACTACTGACCTGACTCTGCGCACTTAACACTCTTATCACTTTGCGGTAGTAAAAGTCGTTGGTGTGTCTGTTGTATTCAGCAACAGCAAAATTCATAGCCTCTTGGAATTCTGGAGAGTTGGGATCTATGTCCGATAAGCCACCTGGCATGCCGCATGACCCGACGGCAAGAAGAGCAGCAAAGAGAAGAGGAAAAACAATCACTGTCGTCATTGTTCTGCAGGAGCAACAACAGATCTGCAAGAGCTGATTCACTCGCAGTGTTCCTTTGAACTTATGAACAGAGACCTAAAAAGGAGTGCTTTATCACAGCCAATCAGCGTGCTCTGAAAAATCTCTGACAAAAGTTTTAATTTTTGGAAAACAAAACACTCAATCATATTTATCATAGCGTCTATCTTACTTGCTTATCGTTAGCCTCTGGTAATGATCACATAAAAAATGATTTGGTGCATCTTTTCTAAATGTTGGAAAAATTCAAAATTCATTCTTTGGACGTGTTTGATCACTAATTTTTGTATGTTTGTCTGGGTCTGAGTAGCAGGGGCAGCAGCCCCAGAGAGTCCCAACCGCCCTCTCCTCAGCAACCTCCACCTGCTCCATGGGTGGGACCTTAAGGCATTCCCTGGTCAGCCTGGAGATCTACATCTAGCTTGTTCTGGGTCCAACGTACCCAGGAGAGCTAGCAGACCAGACAGAGGGTCAAAAACCATCCAAACCATACTCCTCGAGTGCCCTAAACTAGGAGCCCCCTGGGGCAGGGGTCTCAAACTCTGTTCTTCTAGGTTCACTATCCAGCATGTTTCTGTTGTTTCCAGATTTCAGATTTCAGATTTATTGGCCAAGTAAAATTACATTTTACACACACACACACACACACACACACACACACACACACACACACACACACACACACACACACACACACACACTCATATCCATAAGCATACTGAATAAGTATAAAAAAAGTATAATAAAAGGATGGTAAAAGAATCTACAGATTCCCTGAGCGTGTTTGAATTTGGCCCTCTTTTATGCTGATTTTATTTCCCTGTTTTCATTGGTCTCTTTATCCCTTGTTTTACCCATTTGTCTTCTAGAATGTTTTACCGTTATTTATTTATTTATCTTGTAATATTTCAATTGCTTTTATTTTCGATTTATTCATCATATTTAACTTTTCTCATGTACCATGTTCAGCCAAATAAAGCTTTGATTGATTGATTGATTCAGCAGAGAAATGGCTGAAGGAAAGAAACTGTTCTTGTGTCTGGTAGTTTTTGTGTACAGTGATCTATAGCGTCTGCCAGATGGGAGGAGATGGAAGAGAGTAGATGCAGGATGTGTGGCATCTTGGACAATATTTACTGCCTTTTTCCTGGTCCTGCTGATGTATAGTTCCTGGACAGAGGGCAGTTGGGCACCAATCAGTGGCGGTTCTACATGGAATTACTCCCCGGGCGAGGCCCCCTTTGAGTGCCCCCCCCCAACCGCCCCCACCCCCACCACCACACCACCCCACCTGCACGAACACACACGTTTTCTACAAACAGGCATGTTTTATTAGAACAACTATTGAACATTCATTTTTCTAAGTTGCACATATTTACATTAATTACTATGAAGTTGTCAGAATGTAAAGCAATATACATTATATACTGTATCAAAATATATAGAATCAAATATACAAAAACAAACAATAACTAAATATTAAGAATATATGAACATAATATATAATAAATATTCTAAATAGCAAAAATATTTCACACATAACAAACTAAAGATAATCACTACAGCACTGCACTTAGAACAGAAAACACAAACTAAAATTAAAACCTAACCTTGATGCAAAGTCATCAATAATGTCATCATATGGAATCTGCTCCCCTACTGAGTGATTGATACTAATCAGAGCCAGGTTAGTGAGCCGCCCCTGAAACATAGTTGACCTCAGGTATGACTTGATCAAGTTTTGAAAAGCTCCTCTCAGCTTGAGCCACGGTGACTGGCAGAGCAGTCCAAAAGTTGGGGTAGATCTCCAATAGATCTTTATCATGATCCATAATATTTTAGAATTGCCTCTGAAATTGTAATTTAAACTGACATAAAAAAACTGTAGACTAACAAAAATGCCAACTTTTACAGAACAAATCATGTAAAAAATAATCAGTGCAGCCATCTGCAATAAACAAACAGGATAGTTAGTGGTGACTGGGGAGTTTTTTTCTGCTTGTAGAATTGTTTTATTTATTATTATGTGAACATGATCAACATGTGTTTGTTGTTGTTCAGGCAGGCCACAGGCTGCAGCGAGCATTTAACAAATCCTAGTTTGAATCAGTAAAAAACGATTCAAGGAATTTTTTCGAACAATTTGAATATTCGTTTCAATATTTCAGCCCTGTTAGCTCTGTTAGCAACTAGTTGACCAAATTTAACTGTTAAAATCCCAGTTAACTGGTTCAAAAAATTGAAAACATGCATCATGAGAGCTACATACCTTTATCTTTCTCCTCTTTTTTCTTTTTTTTCCTGAATCGGGCACCTGGTGGTTTTAGCCTTTTTATGTTCATCTCTTCTGTTTGGCTCTTAACTCAATAAGTTTCCTTTAGTCAGGACTAAACAATTTGACCTTGATGGGGGGGTGACCACAAAATCGTTTTGTTTTTCCTTTTTTTATTCGGCCATTTCACACAATTCAGAAACACCTGAAAGAATGATAGGCCTGTGTTTATGATATTATGAATGAAATATGGAAGAACATCAAGATGTGATTGACTTTAGCCATGTTGATACAGTTGATTCAGCCCCTACCCGCTCATTTCATTTGGACCCACCCAGAGGTGAATTTCCCCGCCGCACCCCTCCCCTTCCTCTTCTTCATACGCACATGGTGCACGGAGCGCATGCAGCTGCAGGGGGCGCCAACTTACTGTTTCCAATCCAGACACTGTCATATGACAGATAATAGAAAACCTCGGTGCGGCGCAGGTTTCTTTTTTTTTTTTTTTTTTACTCAGCGCCTGTGCGCCCCTTTTATGTCATGAAAAAATGCCGCCCCGGGCAACTGCCCTGTCTGCCCGTGCCTAAAACCGCTACTGGCACCAATGATTTTTCCTGCTGTTTTAATAATACGCTGTAGTCTGCATTTTTCCATTTTTGTGGCTGACTCAAACCAGACAGTGATGGATGAGCAAAGTATGGATTCGACTGCAGCAGTATAGAAGATGATCAGCAGCTCTTGTGGTAGGCCACACTTCCTTAGTTGCCGTAAGAAATACATCTTCTGCTGAGCCTTTTTGTGGATGGAATTGATGTTTGTTTCCCACTTCAGATCCCTGGAAATGATAGTTCCCAAGAACTTAACTGAGGCCACCATTATCACTGGGCTGTTGGATATTGTGAGGGGGGACAGCACTGTGGGAAGCCTCCTAAAATCCACGGCCATCTCCACAGTCTTAAGGGTGTTAAGCTCAAGATTGTACTGACTACACCAGACCACCAGCCTCTCAACTTCTCGTTGATAAGCAGACTCATCACCATCCTGGATGAGCCCAATGACAGTGGTGTCATCTGCAAATTTCAGGATTTTAACAGCTGTGTCCGCAGAGGTGCAGTCATTGGTGTACAAAGAAAAGAGCAGTGGAGAAAGGACGCACCCCTGTGGTGTACCGGTGCTGATCAACCTTGTGCCAGATGTAACATTGTTCAACCGCACATGCTGGCTCCTATTTGTCAGGAAGCTGGAAATCCACTGACACATAGCAGGGGAAACAGTGAGCTGAGAGAGCTTTGAGGTGAGGATTTCTGGTACAACGGTGTTAAAAGCAGAGCTGAAATCCACAAACAATATCCTTGCGTACGTCCTTGGTTGATCCAGATGTTCCATGATGAAGTGCAGCCCCATGTTAATTGCATCATCCACTGACCTGTTTGCCCTACAGGCAAACTGCAGGGGATCCAGCTGGTGACCTGTGGTGCTTTTAAGATGGGACAGCACCAAGCGTTCAAAGGACTTCATGACTACTGATGTCAAAGCCACGGGTCTGTAGTCATTCAATTTGGTAGGGGAGGATTTCTTAGGTACTGGGATGATAGTGGAGCTTTTGAAGCATGATGGAACCCCTAACCCTAACACAGCTCCAGCGATCTGTTGAATATCATTGTGAAGACAGGTGCTAGTTGGACAGCACAGGTCCTGAGGCAGGAAGGAGTTACTCCATCTGGGCCTGGTGCCTTCCATACGTTCTGTCTCCTAAAGATGTTGCAGACATCTTCTTCATTCACAAGGAACATAGCTTGTGATTTAGAGGAAAGAGGAGTACGGGTTAAATTTCACTGTCTCCGCTCCGCTCCGGCACGAACACTGCAGCAAAAACGGTCCCATTGTAGTCAATCAGAGCTGTTCCACCACTGCGCAGTGCGCCGCCCACCATTCCGCCATCCGGCAAAAATAGGATTGATTCTATTTTTGCCGGACGCCGGAGCATCTCCGCAGTCAATGGACAGAAATCACAACCGCCCAACAGGAAAGGGAGCAAGCACAGCTTCCGTTATTTCACAATAAATCGATAAACAAAAAGCGTTTTTTGTTTCATATGCACAGGTTTAACAATTTTTAACAACTATCAATGGCGGTTGAACTTTAAATGCACAAAAATAAGCCATAAATACAGTTTCTACTATCAAAGCAGTCACCCTTTGTTGATCCAAACACTGCTGATCTCTCAACACAAATATGATGGGCAGATTAAACAGTTCATTTCGATGCTTCTCGCACACAACGGGTGTTTGGATCTAACTTTCGCAGTTATTGCTCGGACTGTATCGCAAGATCTCGAAAATCCCACGCATGCTTGTTTGCGCGCCTCAGGTCTCCTCACCGGAGAGGAGCCGTTGTAGAGCGGGTATAGTATAATTTGAGTTTGGAAGCAAGCGGCAGCGGAAAGCGGGGGCGGAGTGGAGATAGTAGAATTTTGGGGTAAAGCCTGGTTCATGCTTCTCCGTCAGCTCCGCAAGGGACGGACACGCACGGATTGACGGACGCATTTTGCTCTCATACTTTTCCATCTCCTAGAGTGTTGCAAAGCAATTCCCTGGCAGGACAACAGAGGGTGTAGCGCTGTTCTGTGGTATCCTGTCATGTATCGGTCCAAGATAGTGTGTTTATATTATGTTTTTTTTGTATATAAGAGACTTTTTAACAGACAAATTTGTCTCTCATTCTCCTGCACCTCTGTATGCGCTCGCCACCTCCAAACCCACGTTTCCTGTCATTTCCGTCCACAAATAAAACGCTTGCTGCGCATCTTTTCTCTCCTACAGTCATGGGAGAATTAAACGTTCATGTTTTTAGAGTTTTTTCGTGAGGTATTCTTTAAGCTTCTCCATGTCTGCTGCTAGTTATCCTCGGCTCTCTTCATGTTTTTGAGGGTGCAATGGCGGCGCTGTAAACAACAGCGGCATCCTGACCAATCACAAGCTTGCGTAATCCGTCTCGTTCGACGGATGTTTAAAAAAGTGGGCTCAACTCCGTACGTACTTGCGTGCCTGCCGGAGCCCTACGCAAGGATGGATAATGGCGTTGCGTGTCTCTGCACTGACGCAGACGGAGAAGCATGAATCAGCCTTAAGAGTTTCCAGGTGAGGGGTGGAGGCTGCAGCTATGCTGGAGTGGAGGAGGGGTGTGACATTCCTTTCCTCAAAGCGACAGTAAAGCCATTTAGCTCCTCAGCAAGGCCATGATTAGCATCAGAAATGAAGGTCGGTCTCTTGTAGTTGGTAATGTGCTGAATGTTTCTCCACAATAATGTGGGGTTGTTGGCTGAAAACTGGTCTTTCATTTTTGCTGCATTCTTAATTTTAGCAGCTCTGATCTTCTTGGTCAAAGTGTTCCTGAGCGATTTGTATAGAGGCCTGTCTCCTGCCCTATAAGCCTGCTCCTTTGCCCGTCTCAACTAGCTCAGTGTTGCTGTAAACCATGGCTTGTTGTTATTAAAGATGCAAAAAGTCTTTGTTGGCACACACACTTCCTCACTTAAGGTGATGTAGGATGTCACAGTGTCTGTTAGCTTGTTCAGATCGTCTGTGGCATCCGCAAATACTCTCCAGTCTGTACAATCAAAACAGTCCTGTAACTCCTCTTTTGCTTCATTTGTCCATTTCCTCACTGTCCTGATGGCTGGCTGTACAGATTTTAGTTTTTGTTCATAAGTGGGGATAAGATTAATCAAATTATGGAACTGTATAGCAATGATACAATATGTTTTTGCCTCTAGTAGGACATCTGATGTGCTGTCTCTATTTCGGTAGTTCGATATTAAGTTTAGCCTTATTGAAATCACCCAAAATAATGAGCACTGAGTCTGGGTACTTGTTCTCTGTGGAGGTAACTTGATCGGCGAGAGTCTGCAATGCAACACTCACATCTGCTTGAGGATGTATGTATACTCTAATCAAAATGAATGAAGATATAGCCCGTGGGGAGTAACATGGCTTACAGTTCAAAAATATTGTTTGAGCTACAATGTTTACAGAGAACTGTAGCGTCTGTACACCAACATTCATTAATGTAGAAGCAGATTCCACCTCCTTTTGTCTTCCCTGATAGCTCTTTTTTCCGGTCTGCACGATATAAACAAAACCCGGGCGGGTATAGAGCTCCGGGAGTTGACGTCACTTCTCCCGGCATGCAACAGTTCAAATCGAAACTGCGCCATATTGGCATGCAGAAGCCCGCAGCTGGACTATTTGTTATTGTCAGAAAACTCAATCAAACGGGAAATATGGTAGATTCCTGTTGTGCCCCAGGATGCAGAACAGACACAGACGACATAAGGAATGAGCCATCTACAGGATTCCCCAAGATCCGGAGCGACGCAAACGTACGGATCATTGTAATAAAACGCACTAGTGACTGGGCTAAAATGAAACTGTGGGATCCCGAGAGTAAAGGTTTTCGCTTATGCAGCGACCGCTTCATATCAGGTACTTAAACCAACGATTCCTCAACTGTGTATGGTATTTATTTTAAATGCTTTTATTATGATTCTTAGTGGCCGAGACAGATCTCAGACAGATCCTGAGACGCTCCTGCCTGACATATTTATTTTATTCACTGAAAAAAATCAGACTTTCTCTTGGCGTTCAGTTTATACATTCAAACAGCACAGCACTCTATTTAAACTACTTACATGTAAATCTGTTATTTGTCCATCCATCCATCCATTTTCATCCACTTATCCGGAGTCGGGTTACGGGGGCAGTAGTGTCGAGAGGCCCAGACTCCCCTCTCCCCAGCGACTTGGGCCAGCTCCTCCGGAGAAATTCCAAGGGGTTCCCCGGCCAGGTCCGGTAAGAAGTTCACTCTGACAGCTTCTGGCATTTTTAAAAAGTATCCCAGGGGCACGGTAAGGGTCGGAGATGTTTAGTCTATTTAATTTCTGACTATATAAAACGATTTCTTCGGTTTTAAAGTGTGAAGTAAACTCCGACGAAGTAAAAATGTATAAAATCTAATGTATTTAGTAATTATGAAAAGGAGAATTATAATGTCAAAGATTAGACGTGAAAATATTAGAAAGTGACTGAGGTTACACTGTGTTTGTTTGGCGGATAATTTTATTTCGTAAAAAGGGGCAGAAATCATAAGATTTTTTCTTCTATCTGCTCCTTTTCATTCAATTTTTTTTTTTCAATATGTTAATGTATCCTGTATTTGTTTGTTTATTTTATACATTGTGAATGAAATAAAAGATTTAAAAAAAAAAATCCAAGCCGATCCCGTTCATGTTCATGTTTACGATCCGTGTTTGTTTACCTTTTTTGACAGCCAATATGGCGTCTACTAACTGAGAGTCACGTGGGGTCCGGAGCTCTATAATCCATTATCAGGAGTCAAGTCACTGAGCCACGTTTCAGTAAAGCAGAGGGCAGCGGAGTTGAAAAGTCTCTATTAGTCCTGTTCAGAAGGAGCTGTTCATCTATTTTATTAGGTAGGGACCGGACGTTCGCTAGGTGTATTGCTGGGAGAGGCATACGAAATCCCCGCTGGCGGAGTCTCACCAGCGCCCCTGCTCGTTTACCCCTCCTGCGTTTCCTTCTCCAACAAACAGTAGCAGTTCCTCCGATCAAAACTTCCAATAAACTTCCCGGGTCCTCATATTTTTGAAAATCCGTCTCCGTGATTTGTTGCTTGATACACAGTAGTTCTTCTCTGCTGAAAGTAATCCATTTTGCGTCTCTGATTTCCCTGCTAAAACACACTTGACACTTAAATATGCTGGATAGCAGACCTTGAAGACCAAAACAAGTACAAAACTTGTAACAAAGTGTACCAATGTCCCAACCTCCTGGTGGACAAAGAAGGCCATCCCACTCGAGACTACAATTCACAACGATGGGTCAGTGGTCTACAGTTAGTAATAAACCTGCGAGGCATGATAACCACACGGGTCTTACAAAGACACTGTGCTGAGGCATTCAAAAGGTCTCCATAATCCAGAAAAGACAAAACTGTTGCAGTGAACAAACATAAAGTAGGGCAAAAAAGTATTTAGTCAGCCTCAGATTGTGCAAGTTCCCCCACTTAAAATGATGAGAGATCCCTGTAATTTTCATCAGAGGCATACATAAAATCACATTGTCTGATTTTTTATTATTTATTAGCAAATGATGGTGGAAAATAAGTACTTGGTCAATAATGAATGTCCATTTCAATGCTTTGTTTTATAACCTTTGTTGGCAACCAACGACAGAGGTGAAATGTCTTCTGTAGGTCTTCACAAGATCTTCACACACTGTTGCTGGTATTTTGGCCCATTCCTCCATGCAGATCGCCTCTAGAGCAGTGATGATCTGGGGCTGTCGCTGGGCAACATGAACTTTCAACTCCCTCCAAAAATTTTCTATGGAGTTGAGATCTAGAGACTGGCTAGGCCACTCCAAGACCTTGAAATGCATCTTAAGAGGCCACTCCTTGGCAGTGTGTTTGGGATCACTGTCCTACTGAAAGACCTGGCCACGTTTAATCTTCAGTGCCAATGCTGATGAAAAAAGGCTTCCACAGAAAATTTGACTTTATATGGCCCCAGTCATTCTTTCTTTTTCACAGATCAGTCGTCTTGGTCCCTTTGCAGAAAAACAGCCTCAAAACATGATGTTTCCACCCCCATGCTTTACAGTAGGTATGGTATTCTTTGGATGCAACTCAGCATTCTTTCTCCTTCAAACACAGTGAATAGAATTTTCCCCCAAAAGTTATATTGTAGTTTCATCTGACCATTTGACACTCTCCCACTTCTCTTCTGGATCTTCCCAATGCTCTCTAGCAACCTTCAGATGATCCTGCACATGTGCTGGCTTAAGCAGTGGGACATGTCTGGCACTGCATGATTTAAGTCCCCAGGTGTATAGTGTGTGACGAATGGTAGCCTTTAAAACTAAGGTCCCAGCTTTCTGCAGGTCATTCACTAGGTCCCACTGTGTAGTCTGGCTTTTTGCTCACGATTTTTGTGATCGTTTTCACTAGAGGGTGAGATCTTGCATGCACCCCTGATTGAGGCAGATCATCAGTGGTCTTGTATGTCTTCCACTTTCTAATAATTGCTCCCACCATTTAATTTAATTTATTTATTAGATCCCCATTAGTGGGAGAACTTGCACAGTATTTGTATTTGTAATTGTGTTCACATGAAGCAAATTCCGGTTATGTAAGTTTTATTCTAATGATCTTTTGTGCATTTCTGTGTCAAAACAGCCACCTGTTACGGGAATTCATTTAAGTGAAACATCCATCCATTTTCTGAACCCGCCTTGTCCACGTGGGGTCATGTGTGTGTGTGTGTGTGTGTGTGTGGGGGGGGGCTATCTCCAGCGGTCAACGGGCAATCAGGCGGGGTACACCCTGGGCAGAGAGCCAGTCCATCACAGGGCAACACAGAGACACACAGGATAAACAATCATGCACACACACACACACACACTCACACCTAAGGACAATTTGGACAGACCAATCAACCTAACAGTCATGCTCTTTGACTGTGGGAGGAAGCCAGAGTACCCGGAGAGAACCCACGCATGCACAGGGAGAACATGCAAACTCCATGCAGAAAGATCCCAGGCCGGGAAGCGAACCCAGGACCTTCTTGCTACAAGGCAACAGCTCTAACCACTGCGCCACTGCGCAGCCTAAGTGAAAAACTAATATGAAATAAAACTTTGCATGAATGCTAATAAAGAAAACCCAACATGAAATTATGTACGGTATGTTTGCATGAATCTGACAGATATAAAGTGTCTGAGACACCTCCCTCAGAGACAGATGGGCATGGTCTGCTGGTTTTAACTGTTACTTCTTTTCAGATGTTTGTATGCTTTTATGATTGTACGTTTTCTAGCATCTCTTTAGTGTGCAGCACTTTGGGGCTTCTCGACTGGAGGTGGAAGGTGCGTTATAAATGTAAACATGAGTAAATGAAATAAACTGCCATCTTTTTTCTAATAATCAGCTGAGGTTTTGTTTGTATTCAGTCAAGTTGTTACAACACCACTGTGATACGTTCTTATGTCTAACTGTATCTATACTCTGAGACGTTATTAGCTGCACAATCACAAGTAATCAGCCCAATTACCTAATTTCACATAAAAACCTCATTAAGTTTATTTTTGTGTCAATATCAGGGTACCTCATGTGTACCTACGGAAGGACTCATTTTGCTTTATTCATTTATTTCATCATAATTTGTTGCACATGCATCATAAATGTTCCCAGTATAGAATTTTTTTCCTCGTCTTGAATGACTAAAAACGGGTGATCAATATAAAATAACCAAAAAGAACTCAGAGTCAGATGAAAATGAAAAAGTTTAATACATTTTCTGAGAAAAGACTATTCTACAGACAACGTCCATCATTTGCTGCAGTCCTCTGTGGTCAGCGTCATTTCACCCATCCCCAGAGCTATGAACACCACAAAGTTGCACTGGTAAAGCTGAAAAGAAAGTTCAGAATAAATTTAATCATATTATATTATCATTTATTCAGACAAAATACAACATTTTATTTTAAAATAGATTATGCTTAACTTAAATAAACAATGAAAAGTAGACTATGAGGTTGCTGGTCCACTATCTCGCAGTGGAGACGGACTGAAAGAGGACTAAAGGTTTTCAGTTCATTACCTTAGCATGGTGTGGGTGAATGTGGATGGGACAGTGTTTACTAGATGGATCGGTCTTCCTGCATGGAGTTCTCGCTAGTATCAAAGTCATGTATATATTTTCACCTGCAACCACCTTTAAAGAGTAAAAAGTGAGGATTTATTATCATAAACACAACAATAACCAGCAGAAGGCTGTGAATAATCTAAATGACTCAATCTGCAGAACATCGGTTATGTGATGCAGCTGGAAGACAGAAAGCTTTAAATCATCTTAAAAGATAAAAGAAACAAACAAGCAGGTAATTTTCTAGTTTTATTTGATGCTACTGGAACGCATTACTTTAATTCAAAACTACTGACCTGACTCTGCGCACTTAACACTCTTATCACTTTGCGGTAGTAAAAGTCGTTGGTGTGTCTGTTGTATTCAGCAACAGCAAAATTCATAGCCTCTTGGAATTCTGGAGAGTTGGGATCTATGTCCGATAAGCCACCTGGCATGCCGCATGACCCGACGGCAAGAAGAGCAGCAAAGAGAAGAGGAAAAACAATCACTGTCGTCATTGTTCTGCAGGAGCAACAACAGATCTGCAAGAGCTGACTCATTCGCAGCGTTCCTTTGATCTTATGAACGGAGAACTAAAAAGGAGTGGTTCATCACAGCCAGCTCTGAAAAGGATGCCATACTCCCTGAGTGACCCCGTCAGGGAGCTCCTACAGGACAGTGGTATCCAAGGCCCACTATCCAGCATATTTTAGTTTTTTCCCTGCTTCAACACAATTGATTCAATTGTTGAATCACTTGTTAATTGTCTGCTGATTAAAATCAGGTGGGTTGGAGCAGGAAAACAACTAAAACATGCTTGATAGCAGACCTCCAAGACCAGCGCTGGAGGCTCCTGTCCTAGGGATAAGGTCTAGAAGTCTTTTTAAGCATTCTGGCCATAGATATGAATACATAGATGCCCAGTTGGGCACTGGAGAGCGTAACAGCATCACTGCCATATTGGATAGGTCTCTTCACTCTCGAACGTCAACGCAGAGTGAACAACTATGCCCGTTCTGTGCAGCAACAATTGTGACTTTTCTAGTCTACCTGATGGGATTTTTAAAATTTAATTTCTTTTATTATATTTTAAGTATCACGCTATACCATATGTCTGATTTTGTGAAAAATCTTGATAAAATATGTTTTTCAGTTGGATAAGCACCTGTGTCAATAGAAATTAATGCACTGGGGGCGAATGGAGATCCATCTAAGATGGCGGCCGCTACTACGGCAGCTCCAATAGGCAGCACCAGTCGACACGGCGTCTACATATACTGTATATGTCTGTGATTCTGGCTAGCTGCACAGCTCCGGTCAGAGAACTACTTCCTGCTTCTAGAGACTCTACTCTGTTTGTGTGACATCACCTGCAGGTAGGATATTCACTGTATAAATAACTCTGAACATCACCATAAACATGGCAAAACAGGCAGCATAGATCATTCAGAATTTCATTTAAAAATCAAAAACCAAACATGATGTCCCATTTCACAGAAAGTGAAGATCTGATGATGTGTTTTCATCAGAAGCCTCGTTGTAGAGGTCAACCAGTCCAGTCAATGAAACCAGTATCTGTCTGTTTGGCTCCAGTTATCGGCCCATGGCGTTTGTTTGCTATCATGACTGTACAGATTGGTTTATGAAGTTGATGGAAGATTAGGTTTATAAGATTAGGTTTCAGGATTGAACAAATTGAAGTCTTTGTAACTATTTTATGAAAATAAAAGTTTTTATGAAGAAATACATTCCAGCCACCACCTCTGAGATGGTGGTTAACATGGGTTATTTGCTGTTCCTGAGGCCTTTTTAGATGAGACAGACCTAAATAATAATGGCCCCTAACCTATTCTTTTATTATTTAAATGCCCTCATTTTTGGCTTTAACTGAATTCAGGCATTAATAAAGTGATTGCACTTGAAGGACCCTTTGGTTTCTCACCCAACCAGGTTGGTAATTTGGCTTGAGAAGACCGTGGACACATTTGCTTTGTGTTCAGTCTTCTAAAACGTTTTCCCAGCTCTCATGGTCCAATTTCCTGTTTTTAGGTGACAGGAGTGACGCCCTGAAGCCAGGCGTGTTTCGGAGATGCTACCTCGATTGGAACTAGTGGTCATTTGAGCTACTGTTGCTTTTCTAGAATCTGGAATAATCTAGAACCAGTCCAGCCATTCTCCTCTGATGTCAACAAAACATTTTTATCCTCACAGCTACTGCCCACTAGATCATCAAGATGAAGATTCAATCTGCCAAGGTGGGATACTGAAGATTTGTAGCCTTTACAACATCAAGGGTGCTATGCGATGAAGGATCTCTCCAGAGCTGCTGAAAGGGGCAGCAGAGGCTCTGGCTGAAGAGAATTAACTCTAGCCAAGCCACACCTGGGTAGTGGGGGTGAACTGGGGATGCTGGGAGTCACTGCTGAACGCTCTGGAGACATTGTGGGCCTATTGGCAAAATGTTGAGAAAGGAGGGTGCCCTGAGAACCCAGAAAGATGCCATCATTCAGCTGATAGAGCAGTGCTATTCAATTCTGGGCCTGGAAGGCCAGTATCCAGCACATTTTAGTGGTCTCTATAGTCCAACACACTTGATTCAGTGGTTGAATCACCTGTGCAGCAGCTCAACAGGCTATGCAGAAGCCTGTTAATCACCTACTAGTTAAAATGAGGTGTGTTGAAGCAGGGTTAAAACCAAAACGTGCTGGATACTGGCCGTCCAGGCCCGGAATTGAACACCCAAGCCTTAGAGTACAAGCTGCAGGTCTTATAAAGAGGGATTAGGACATCTAGTCCTTTGAAACAAATTTTCTCTATAAGCTTTTGTTGGGTGAAAATCCCCATGAGTAAGCAGTTTCTGAAATAATCAAACCAGTGCATCGGGTACCAACAACAACCATCAAAGTCACCTGATTTCCTTTTTTGTTTACCTTTTATTACATTTTAAAATATCAAACCAATAATTCCTTCTAAAGTCCAATTAAATAGAAAATGCACCTTTTATAATGTCTCTTTAACACATAAAAGCTGATTTAGAACAGGCCATGCAGACCCATCACGGAATCTGGCTCTAACCCGCTATCTGACCTCCTTTCCTTTGGTATCTTCATAGTTCCGTTAATCTCCATGACTGTTATCTGATCCTGTGTAAAAATGTAAAATTCCTAGAAATAATCAATTATTTATGTTTTAATGTTGCATTCAGATATGTTACGATCAACATATAATTAAAGTAAACTAAAAACAGTTTTTTGTTGTTCACAGAAATAAATCATCATTTTAGGATCCATCTCATCTCTCTAAGAGCTTTTGTTGTAATTCTCTTTAATTAAACTAAATCTTAATATGATTTCTGGTGACGTCCAGTTTCATGTTTTCATCACGGTGTGTAAAAGTTAGAAAAGACCGCTCAGTCTTGTTGCATAATTCAAAGCTGTTATTGATGAAGGCCATAAAAAGAAACTACACCTTTAATTTATCATGAAGTAATTTTCAAATAGTTTTCTTTCATTTTTGTGCATCAATATTTTTCACTACTTAAGAACTATTAACCTGATGAAGCTCGGGTTTGTGATTGGTGGAGCTTACAGGATAAAACAAGTCCCTTCCTGCTTTGAGATTTTCTGTTACAAATAATAATTAGGTTTTTGCGATAAATATGAAATATGTCACTTTAAAAATGTTGAGTTTATAATTTAGATTGTGCAGTTCTGTGTCAGGATAACCATCTATTTGCCAGGAGTTGGTGTGTGTGTTTGTGTGGGTTTTCTGCTTTCACCTTCAGGCAGCCACAGGAGGGCACTAGGGAGACGCTCATCACAGTTCCCTCCAGGAGCTGCTCTGGCAGGTGTGTTTTCCACACACCTTCACTCCATTTTACCAACTACAACCAGGAGGATAAAAAGAGAGGAGACCAGTCATCCAGTGCCAGAGCGTTAACCTCAAAGGTAATCTTCAGCCCCTGCCTATGAAAGTTTGTTTCTTAATGTCCCTAGTTGACAAACTTGTGACCAACCTTCTCCTTCTGGCTCCTCAGGTTAACCGGCTCTCGTGGTGATTCCTGGAACCTTCTTACTCCAGGCCAGCTTCACACTTTGATTCCTCGGTCAGAACCATCCACCCTATACCCACCTTCTTCATTACTGGTCTCTTCATCTCCTGAGATCCTCCTGAGCTCCTGTTAACCTTGTAGCGGAGAATTAAGACTACACACTGAAATCACCTCTGTTGCTATTCAGTGGAGATTCCGAAAAATGACCAATCAGATTAACCTAAGAAGCTTATATCATATACATAAATATCCCAGATACTTATATATCGATCTAAGTTCATATGTTGTTTGTTGTTTATGTTGTCTATGTGCTTAGCAGACGCTTTTACCCAAAGCGACTTACAATTCTTTTATAACCTATAGGGCATGTTGTGATCTGTGGGGGAAACCGGAGTACCCGGAGAAAACCCACGCATGCATGGAGAGAACACGCAACTCCACGCAGAAAGGTGAGTTTTTTTTAACCTGTGACCTTCGTGCTGCGAGGCAACAGTGCTAACCACTGTGCCACCATGCAGCCCATACATACATTCATACATCAACTTGTTTGATCTAATTTTAATCCAAAGATTAATGTTTAATTTAGATAATTAAATTTAATAGCAAAAGTTATTTTGAATCAGAAGCTAGGATCTTTGCTTTCAAATAACCAGAAATATTATACCTTTTCTTTGTTTCGTTTCAATAATGAGGCAAGTTTAAAAATGAAGAAATTTATTACTAACAATTTTAAACTTAAAGATTTGAAACGACAACTATAAAATGACAATTCATGGATGGCAATTTTAATGACAATTTTTAACAGCTTTGATATTAAAATTGTTTTAAAAGCAAATCTGTGGCTGAATGGAAGCTAAATGAAAAATACGAGTTTAGATGCGTGAATGAGATTATTAGGAGGTTTCTTTCACAGAGAGCAGAAGCCTTCTGGATGGAATTGATGTTTTGCGGCTAACTAAGTTATTTAGAGAGAAAACAGCATCAAACACATTCTCGTGTTCTACCTCACCCAAACAGGACCCTCTCTTGGATCCAGAGATCAGGAGGATGTGTTCATCCAAGTTGACACTCAGTCTGGCAGGGGAGACGCAAGTGTCCGATCGTCTGGTCCAGAGTTGTCCCGGGTACACGGTTGTCGAGCGTTTGGCAGATGGACGTTCTCGCCTTAACTAAACTTCAGAAATCAATGACTCTGGGTAGAGTCTTCGTTAGCTGGTACCTTTTGGTAGGTGTTTCACCCACCTGAAGTTTAGAGGTCATTAGTGCCTGCTGTAGTGGAGTAAGATCAGTGAGTGCGTCTGCCCCCCCCTTCGGTGGGTGGAGATCCCACCTCAGAGCACAGAGCGTCAGCTAGAGTCCCTGAGCCACCATCAACTCTCCCTGTGACAGAGTGTGGAGTCATTGGTGGAGCGTCCCCGCCAGCATCAGCTCCCCCTGGATCGGGAGGGACTCCCGATCCCTGCAGGATCTGAGCTGTCGAGGCCACAGAGGCTTTGTGGACATCACTGATCTTAGAGACGCTGGTTTCTTCTATCAGTCTGAAGCACGAGCAGCCAACACCTGAAAGAGATGACACGAGCACCAGATAGAGCGTGCAGCTCTGGAATGGAGTCAAAACCCTGTGAAAGATGTTGAAAAGCTTTTGGGTCAAAAGAGTTCAGGATCATCCTGCTGACAGCAGGATGCTGGACCTGAAGACTGACAAAGTCATTCACAGAAAAGCCAAGTTGAACAGGCACAAACCCTTCAGGTGGTTTTAAGATGGGGTCATCCGGGGGCCACAATGGTTTCACGGCCCATGATGTGTCCACCATCTCACCCTGAGAGACAAGCTGGTCTGTGCCAGAGATGAAATGGCCATTGAGGAAGTTCTCTGGCAGAAGTCGAGTGTCAAAGCTGAGATTCTGCCCATCCATGTAGCTAGCGAGGTGTTCACCTGTCCACATGGTGGAAAGAGAAAGATTATTGCAATCAGGATAACTTAACACAAGCTCTTGTTTGTCTCGGTCTACAACTGAGGTAGAAGTCTTAGCTATGTTAAAGAAATCTGCAGATTGTGACTGTGATGGAAGCTGGATCTGTGGTGGCGCAAGTTCTGAACCAGGTGGGGAACTTGGTGTTCCCACCTGCTCAGAGCTACCAACCGTGAGACAGTGGAGGTCTGGAGGCGGAGCGGCGGCCAAAGGCAGGATCCCTTCTGACCAGAGCTCTCCCCTTTCCTCATCAATGAAAGCATTTATTCGACTCAGAACGTCCACGCCAAGGGTGAGTTCCATCCTTGCATGGTCGGAGATGTAAACAGGGTGTGTCAGAGTCATGGGCCCGAGTGTTATCTGGAGATTGAATCTAGAAGACAAGATTAGGTCATGAGATGAAGTCCTGGTAATTACAGAACATGGTGTGATTTCTGGGGGCCGAATCCACCTTCCACAAGAAATGCAAATGCGATCGAACATGGCTTGTGTTACCAGTGAAAAGTCTGAACTCGTGTCAAGAAGTGTGTCGCAGAATAGATTCTGGGTCAGCTTAACTGGCACCAGAGCTTTACCCCCTGTCTTCTTTGGGAGCAGGTGTCCCAAGAACATTATGGAAGGTTCTGCGTTTGGGTGGACTTCAGGAACAAGTTCTGTTTCCTGGTGGACCGAGTCTTCTGTTTGCAGGTTTTGTTCTGGAAGCAGATTAATATGAGAGAACTTTACATGTGGTATAACAGAATGACCTTGTGAACTTATGTCAGGCTTGTTAGTCGGAGATGAGGATTTTTGCTTTAGATCAGAGCCAAGTAAAACATCAGAATATTTTGATTCTTGTTTATCTGGTGGCAAATTGGAGGAGCATGGGGCTGTCACTGGTTTCCTTTGCAGCATGTTTATTTTATCTTGAATATCTGTTACGTCCTGACGCAGTTTATAGAGCTGAGTTGTCATCTCAGCCGTCTCAATTTGGAAATGGTTCCTCATCTCAGCCGTCTGAATTTGGAACTCGTTCCGCATCTCTAGGGATTGAGTTTGGAGATCGTTTCTCATCTCTAGGATCAGGGACATTAATTGCTTTATTTCTTCTGAGCTCATTTTAAAAACAGTGTACAGCCCTTTAATTTTTTCTAAAGTGAATGGAAACTGACTTCAGTTGTTAATACTGAGCTATGTTACAGGAGAAATTTTGCTTTGAACAACATTTAATAATACACTAGGAACCTTATTTTGAGAAATAAGCAGAAGTAGTGAAATGACAAAGAACAGAAAAGAAAAATGAGCTTATTGAGCCGGGTGTTAAAACCGCCACAAGATGGCAGCATCGATCGGCTAAGGAACTGTGGTTGATGGAGGTAGGCCGAACACACTTTCTCAAAACTAATTACCAAATTATGGAGTTACACTACATATAAATACGCTGTAAGATCTGAAAATAAACACACACACCCAAATCCCAAAAAGTCCATGTTGGATGCAAGTTTGCAGGTGTTTTTATGTAGTGTAACTCCATAATTTGGTAATTAGTTTTGAGAAAGTGTGTTCGATATTGACTTTTTGTTTATCGATACCCGATGTAGTCTAACTCTTAATTCCTGACAACATAATATGTGGGGCCCGCCCACCCCTCATAAGGGGTACCAGCAGACCAGAAGGGTGAAGTGTCCTACCAAAGGACGCAACAACTACAAGAGACTGAGCAAGCAGGACAATTCATTAGCAAAATGGCTACAAGCCATTCGATTTCACAGGTGTTAACTTAAAATTTGGTGTGCTCATAGGTTTGCCATTCAAAACTGTTGGGAGTGTGCAAGATGACAAATATAATTATTTTCAATTCTTATTCCAAAATGTTGGACTGGCATCATCTTATATTAATAGATGAAGTGAATATTTCAGTTTTGTTATAAAAGTTGCCGTATATAAAGTTTTGTTCCAGGAATATTAGGCCTTTTATTTTAAGTTTTAGGTTTACTTAAGAGTGCTGTGAATTAATAAATAAGAGACTCTTTAAAACTGCAAGAGTGAGCAATTTAATGTTTATGGTCAGAATGTCAAGGCAAATCAAATCAATCAATCAGAGCTTTATTTATAAAACGCCTTCCGCAACCCTGTCAGGAAGCCCTAGGCGCTGAACACAGTACATAAGAAATGTGAAACACAATGAATAAATAGATAATAAAAGCAATTCAAATAGTGCAAAAAAGGTAAAACATTTAAAAGTAGAAACAAATGGATAAAACAAGGGATAAAAACACCAATGAAAACAGGGAAATAAAATCAACAAAAAAGAAGGCCGACCTCAAACACGTTCAGGGGAACGTCGAGCGGAGGAGGTGGGGGTTTTAGGCAACTCTTAAAGACCGGCAGATATGGGGACAGCCTAACTGAGGGTGGCAACTGGTTACAGAGTGAAACCGGAAGCTTGTTAGTGTTAATGGAAATATGTCATAACAGTACTGACGGTTACACTTATTTGAACATTTTAAATACATGGCATATCTGAAATTTACAATAAAATAACAAATGTTCAGCCAAGATCTGTAACAGACCCAAAACAGTGATGAAATATCAAAAAAGAAGTGTGGGTGGAGTAAGACACTGGTAAGTAATTTTTGTTGTTAACAGTCGGATATTATTAACAAACATCAGTTTGAAACGCAACATGCCTTCACGTCATCACTGGTTTGTAACGAGGTTTCAGTATCGATGTGCTGATACAGAAGCTCTCTCAGCTGGTTGGTGCTGCTCTCAACCTCCATCAGGGTTGACTCTCGCTTTGACACTTTCTCAGCCTTTTCCTGCTCCTAAGACACAACCGAAGATTCATCCAAAGATTCATCCATACCACCATTAAATCAAATATGAGGACCAGCAGTGCTGCAGTGCTCCTCGCCTCCTGGATGGTGCTTTTAATGAGCCTGTTGGCGGTTTCCAGGTCTTCAGGATGGCCACTCCTCAGTAGTCTAACCAACATCTAAGTTAAACACAGAATTGTTGAACAAATAAAATAGAGTGTGTTGTTTTAAAGTTACTCCGGTCTGTCACCTTGGCCTTGTCGTCTTGATCAAAAAACAGACTCTGTGGTTCTTTGAGGCGGAGGAGCCATAACAACTGTGTCTGGAAGTGTGGGATCCTTCTTCACGATGCCTAACACAAGAGAGATGAGAGGATTTTATTCTTGAAAATGTTCTTAGTTTTTGTAAACATAACATTAATTTTTAATGTTATCTGTGGTATTTCTCAGGTTGGCAAAATCCTGCAGAAAAAAAATCACGATTAGTGTTGTCCCTCACCTTGTTTCTTCAGCATGTTGTAGGCTTCCTGAATCTTAGGTTCCTCTTTAAGCCAGAGCGTCCAGCCGTAGAAGACCTCCGTCACTCTGTCTTTAACTTTCTGTGGACTCCACGCGCCAAAGGACTGAAATCAGTAGGTGATGATAATTAAACTATGCTGATCTGACTGAAATGCATAAAAATTACAAAACAGTTAGATTCCTTATTTAACCGAACCATAATTTAAATACCAAGATTTATAGAAAAAGAAATTATGTTAAGAAAGTATTTTTCTTTTAAGGTCTCTTTCACAACTATTGAGACAACAAGGATATTTTTTCATTTTTTCTGGTCACTCACAACATTGAAAATGGACATCAGATCAACAGTCTTACTAATCAGACTTTGTTTTACTTCCAGAAAAATCATTTTCAAAAACATCAGAAATTTAAAGCAGTAGTTCTTTGAAATAAATCTGTTTTGGCAGGTCAGAACTACACAAGAATCACAAATCGGCATCGGCTCTAAAAACCAGAATCAGTTCATCCTCGAAGTTTAGGTTTTCATTTATAATTTGCTGTAGCTTTGGAATATTGTTCAGCACATTGGTTGTTTTTACTACAACAGTAAACTATCTTTATGATGAATAAAGTATGTTACACAAATCTTCATATTGAGCTTTTTTTTTTTTTGAAGAACTAAACTCAAATGAATTGAGTATTTAAAAAAGCTTATTTTGTAAGGACAAATTAAACATCAACTATCTACTTTTCAAAGTGAAAAACTGTGTTAAACTTGGACCAGATAGGTTTTCAGATACGTTTATTAACTGCTCTGATTTATGTTAGTGGGTCTATGACACCTGTGAGTTACCTTTGGCATTAAGACTTTGATAAGTTCATTCAGAAAGCAAAACTTAGCTGCCTCGCTGCGGAACCGCTTTCCACAATTGTTCATACAAGCCTCCAGAACCTGGAAAGCATCAAAGAGAATATTATCGTTACCTCCAGACACGTTGGAAGTGTGGTTAACCAGCCTTAAATGTCACATGATGCGATTCACGGAACCCTTGAAAAGTTACGATTCACAGCAGAATCACGGTATCAAACGGTGTAAGTTCTCAGCAGATTTATTCCTCATTTTTCTTGCTCATGCTGTAATTTAGTGCTAATCACTAGATTGCTCTCTTCAACAGGAAATGGACTAAATCATTGGAGGTACTATGATGACCTTTGATTAAAAACAGATACTGTACATCAAAATACTGATGAAAATCATGCCATTGATATTTGTCTTGTTCAAACAATATAAAAAGATTAATTTAAAAATTGAAGTCTAATGTGTTAAAGTGAGATCTGCCAGTTGGTGAACCTGCATCATCTGTATGTATGTTTATGTGAAGTTTGGTTACCGTCAGTGAGAGCCTGAAGAGCTTCTTTCTCATGTGGAGACAGGATTTTATGGGGGAAGAAGACATAGAGCTACTTGTGGCCTGAAAGCACAAAATATTTAATTAAATTCATACAATCTCAGAAACACAGTACTTGCATGAAGTCCTCCAGAAATTTCTGTGCACTCTAGAAAAGCTAAAAGGAATTAATTAAAACGGTAATATAAAATATAACTGCTATGGGAGACACAGCCACTTAGACAAACCTGATGCAAAAGGGTGAAACCTGAATTAGCTAAATATCGTTAATTTGTAATGTAAAATGAATCATTACCAAGGGCTTTAGATATTTGCTTCTTTTTAACACACTTGAGTAAAAAGAACATGTCTCCCCTGAATAAAAATCTATAGTTTTCTTTGCAAAAACACTTTTACTGATGAATAAAAGTAAAGAAATACAGGGATTTCTTCAAAAATAATTCTCTTTGGGCTGACTCTAAATGTCGATGCAAAAAAGGGTCTTTTCTTTTTAAAAATATTATGATTTTCTTTTGTTGTCTTCTAACTTCCTGTTAGTGATCATAACATACTGATTTACACAGGACTGTATGTTGCAGGCATCTCATGAACAAGCAAGCAAAGATCCTAAAACAGGTCTGCTCTGAACTGAAAAGTTTTTTTTAGAAAGATCTAAATGCCCTAAAACAGCAAAAAAAAAAATCACAGCTGATCACAAAGACTTTCACATATTCTTCATAACGATATTTCTATTTAAATTGGAAAAAGTTTAAGGTGTTTAAATAACACCTGTGCCGAGATTAGTTTCAGACATGAGTCATTAATTACTCATCTAGATTTTACCAGCATTTTTCCTTTGAAACCTACTAAATAAAAAGGTTAAAGGAAATGCATTGTTACATGTTATTCTTTTATGGGATTTTATAATGAAGTATTTATAAGAATCGTTGGATTTAGTATCAGATAAGGTTCATTTAGTAGTTACAACTCTGGTAAAAACACCAGTAAGTTTTACTAACCTACGTTTGCTGGAAACTCTTCCGAGTTACTTTAATTTTGTTTTCGTGTGACATGAAAGCAGATTATTAAATCATTGGCACAAATGATACAGCGCTCGAGCGCCTCTCCCTCAGGCACGCGCACAAGCTAAGCAACTTCCTGCTCCAGCTAAAATTATTTCTACTTTTAATATTATTTTTATTTAGTAAAAGCTAAATAAAGTGCGGACAGAGCATTAATAAGCGCTGCTTTACATAAATGCAATAAAGTTTAAACACCGAGTGGAAATGACGTTTTGGTGACATTTACAGCAACCATCGGTGGAGATGAAATGACGAGATGCAAGCTAGCATCGCGTCTCATCCTTAAACAAGCAGCTAAAAAGTAAACTTTTGTCTGCAGCGTGTTTACTTACTGAGCCTGCGTGTCCACCACAGTCGCCATAGCTGCCCGTCTCTAACTGGTGCGTGGACAGTTTCTGACCGGAGCGTGTCTGCGCTTGAGGCGAAGGTGTCAAACTGCAGTTTGTTTATGGTGACATGTGACCAAGTTACACAAAACACCCCTTCCCCTCACTGAGGTCATTTAATAATAGTTCTGCTTAATAAAGGTTAAAGTACAAGCAAATGAGGCGTGTGTTTTTTTTACACTCATTTTATGTAAATGTTCATTCTAGAGTGATTTATTTGTTCATATTAAAAGGGTAAAAGCACTGCGGCACTTCCTCATCCGTGTGCACAAATACAGGTGGTTCAATAAATCCTCAAGAAAAAAGAAACAAAACATACAATTTGTTCTCAACTCATTTATAAAATTATTTTCATTGAATAAATAGTATTATTCACCATGACAGTTTCATGTGAAATTAGACTTTTAAGTTTTGTCATATTAGCCACATGTGGGATGACTGACAGTCAGTGAGCTGATTTGAAGCTGCTCTGATCTTTAACTCATGTTTTGTGTGTGTGTGTGTGTGCGCACGTGTGTGTGTGTGTGTGTGTGTGTGTGTGACAGTGAAAACAAAAAGTCACAAAATGTGACACTAAAGACAAGAGGCGAGGGGGTTTATGATCCTAAATAACTCTTTGAAACAATAGTAAGTCATTTGCTTTTGTGAGTTGTCGGTTCAGCCAGTTCTTTGTTTTACAACTTCCCGCCACCTGCAAAAAGGAAGTCAATTGCTTTGTAAGTATCACCGTGCCAACTTGTTTAGAATGAGCTTTAAGAAAGCTCAACCAGTTCTTTGTTGACCAACTTCCTGGCACTCTTTCAAACAAGCCCACCTGCAGAACAATAAGTAAGTCAAATGCTTTGTGGTTGATGTTGGGGTTATTAGGAGCGAACAATTCGTAAGCTTCAACTTACTTTTGGATTCTTCAATAAATTCTGTAAATATGGGAATATTTACTGATTTATTAATTAATTAAGATATTCTTAGATATACGGGGCACCATTCCCCTTTTACCGGGGAAAAATTGAATCCAAAACTCTTATCAGTCTTTCTTGAAGTTCGTAGAATCCTTGGAGCAGAGACTTCTCTTCGACACAACAAAGCTACTGGAGACGAAAATCTGAATTTTATAACGTTTAATTAACAATTTGTCAAATGAATAAACAGTGGCATAAATGAATAATAACCATGTGATATAATAAAAGGATGTATATTCAAAATAATGTTCAAGGTGTTTGTGTGGTGTGTGTGAGTGAGTGTGTGTGTGTGTGTGTGAGAGAGATGAATGGGTCTTTGTTTCCCCAGAGTAGGTGGGGGAAAGTGAGCTGTGAGTGTGTGTGGGGCTCTTCCCCTCCCCTCGCATTCAACAGGAGACCTGGATGTGTAAAGTTTTCTACTTTCCCGAACACTTAGTGGCTTAGAATCACAGTAAAACTTAACTCAAACACTTCAAAAGTTAACAAACAACAAAAGGTCACTTGTAAATTATTTAATCTAAAAGGAGTCGGCAGCCTGGCCAGAGCTGACGACTAAAAGCGATGATCAATAAGCAGTTTATTCTTTCAAAATGACCCGAAGGACGAATTGGGAGCGAAAGAGGAAAACACGAAGCTACTTTTTAAGCAATAGCGCGGTTTTATTGCTTATTCTGGACTATAGAGGAAACGGGAGAAGAAAAGGAGAGAGAAAAATGAGTTTTCTGATCACCAGATGAGCAAGGCGTCCCCCGCTGTTATGACTTGACGGTTCTCCGTTTTTCTCCGCAGTTTTCAGCGTCATCCGTCGGTTTGATGCTTTCTCCGTTGTTTGGCTCCACGTGTGTTTCTCCACGGCTGGATACAAAGAGAACGAAGTTTCTTTTGTGCTGAGCTTGACAACTTACAGCGTCTCTGAGAGCTGAATGGAGCTCCGCTCGTTCCCAGTCAGGTCCCGATGGAGTTAAGAGTGGTTTCCAGCGGTTGCGTGGCTCAACTTGGCACTTAGAGCTTCCGCGTGCTCAAGTTGTCGGAGCGTTGACAAGCGTGTCCTTACCGCCAGGTATCCTGGGCAAAAGAACAAGGTTTCTTTGTCTCTGCTGAAGATTTATGGTCTTAGTTCGCGGGAAAAGCTCCACGGCTTCCCGCACATGCGCAGAACGTGTTTCTGGTACTAGGCGGTGACGTCATCACAATGCTTCCGTGTGCAAAGCATCATGGGAAATGAAGTTTCTTGGCGCTGATGTGATTATTTGCTTTTCAGAGCAATTTAAGCACAGTCATTTTGGAGAAAATCACTGCATAGTAATTTCCTCATGAGGTCAGACCCTCAACATTGAGATGGGTGATTTTGTTGTAAAGTATAAGGAGAGATGTGGCTGAATGGCTGATTAGAGTTGGTAACCCCAAATTCTTTACTTGTCTTAGAGAGAGTCATGCATTTCCTGAAAGGGGAAAGTGGTTTAAATGTATGTGTGTGTGTGTGTGTGTGTGTGTGTGTGTGTGTGTGTGTGTGTGTGTGTGTGTGTGTGTGTTTACAGCCTCTGATGATTCACCCTGATGTGCTGCTGGACAGAAAGTTTTACACAATAGTTTTAGTTCTGGTTAAAAGTGTCTGTGAGCTGCATGTAAATAACACATTTAAACACAAAGTTTAAGACTGAACATACGAAATCCAACGTGAACATCTGCCAGATGGTTCTGCTCCCTGGCTGGGCTTCTTTTTCATGCTTCTCTGCATTTGCAGTACAATTTAGATGACA